CCATCGTTCTTGTTTTGGTTTTTCATCTTTGAGGAATAAATAAATCTGCCTCCTTTGAGTAGCTTTATGAACCCTAGTTCTTAGGCAATTTCATATTTTGGCTTAGTTAGGAGGCAAAAATCAAATCTGATCAATCAAAATACTTTTATTAGTGTTTTCGCTTTTGAGAGGAAGCTTTGATTTTTTTTTTTCAAATTAAGCTTCTTCTCGAAAATCTTCAGACAGATATTTTAGGGTCTTTGTGTATTGGTATGAATGTGTTTATATGTTTATAGCCTCCGAATAACGGGAAGGTGAAATATAGGAACACTTTCTGGTTCAGACAGAGGCTTATATAAAAAAAACTCGTATCAGATTATTGAAGGTGAAAAAAAAAAACTTTTTTTGCCATCAAAATCTTCTTCCTTTTATTGGATAGATTCGAATATCTGTTGTAATTGGAATTTTGCAAGTTTTGTTTTTGGTGAGAAAGAAAGGTTTTTAGAGTTTTATTTCTTCTGAGCTGCTTGATCTTGAGAGGAATNTGTAAATGGAGACACTTAGGCCAAAACTGAAAGCTTATCAAGGAATTAGTCAAAAATATGGATTAAAGTGACTGATGTACATGTATGACTTCATGATAACTAGTGAATCACAATGATAAAAGATCCTTAATTTCAACAACAAAAAGAATATATGAGACCTTTTGCTTCAATTTGCCAAAGAATTATCGAACAATGGATCCCAAAACTATGAAAAAGTAAACTTGGGAGATTTTCTCGACTTGTTGAGGATTTTATTGAGAGGGTATTGAAATAATCCGAAAATAAATGGAAGCAAAACATTACAGTTGTATCAAAAGAACCAAGAAAAGAAATATTAAAGTGAATTGTCAAAAGACATACATAATTGAGTTTTCACCTTCAACTGCTCTATAAAACTAAAGCTTCTCTTGTCTGCAAAACTTGATCTCTTCTTCGGGAAGAAGAAACTTCTTAATACACAGCTTCAGCTATTGGCAATAAACAAGAGAGACAATGTTTAAGTTACAATCACTTCTAAGTTTCAACTATATATGATTGTCGTAAAGAGATAGCGAGTAAAAGATGATTGCTTGCTTACAGTCGCAATTGTTTGTTCAATTGTGTGATACTCAAAAGAAATTAGGGTTTTCGAGGACGATTGGATCCTTGTATTGCCTTCGATTTCTTATTAGGGATCTTATTTTGGTCGAATTTGTTAAAATTTTAGATTTGATTTCTATTAAAATGGATTTTTTTCTTGTGATTGTGAAAAAAAAAGTCTTCCTTGTGTTTTTTTTGTTGTCGTCATACTTTTGTGGCTTCAAAATAAATAATTAAACATTTTTTGTTACCACTAAGTAGAAANCTTCTAGTATCCCTATTTGTAAAACTAACACTTCAACTGGAACCATTGTTTTCTGTTTTTCCAGAAAGAATGTAAGAATATAATAATCCTTTCTAACAAAGAATCAACATAGCCACTGAACTACCTTTTGAGTGTGATGATGAAGATTACTTCAAATCTGAGCAAATAAAAGTTCATTCCATGTATCCGGGATCCCGGGTAAGCACCAATGCAAGCAATCATTGACCGTTGGAGTTGGAGTTGGAGTCGAAGTCACATTACTCGCCTTTACTCGAGCAATCAAAGGGGAAAAACAAAAATTATCACCTTTCTTTATTGCGCCGAAAAAATCAACAAGTACAAACACATCAACGTTTGGATCCCATTAGTCACTCCTATAATCAATGGATATTGTTTAGTAGTATTGACGAACATGTGAGAGATCCAAATTCAGAGGCGGATTCGTAACTGCTTGCTTCTCCAGATCCAAAGCTCCCTGCTTGTTCGTCTTTTAGAAGATCCGATCATCAATCAATTTTTGTTTTTCGTTTCCGGTAAGTTTCCCGATCATCTTCTCGCTCATCTATTTCTGGAATTCGGAAAAAAAATCACGAGTCTCGGTTTATGATTTCAGCGAAACCTTGGACAGATTTTGGGTTTAAGGGTATAGTTTCTTTGTCTTTGTCTCTTTAGTTTGTTTTCCCGATTTGGATGAATTCCGAGTGAAAAATAAAAGGATCATACAAAGCTCAGTTTTTGCCATTTCTCGAAGGATCTTGAACTTCAACAACAGAGGAAGGAGCTTTCTTTTGTTGAGAGAGTTGATGTTATCTCTGGCATTCAGTCTATAAGATGTTTGGTGGTAAAAGTTACATACTCAGAGGGAGTGTATCACTTGCCTTGATTATCCTCATTCTCTTGATGATAATACTCCTGGCTTCCGAGGAAAACCCGCTTCGTACTTCTTTGTTCGAAGTAAGACGTCAATTTTCAGCTTTTT